CCAGAAAAGGACAGTGTCTAGTCAGTAGGGAGCAGACCTAGAATAACTAGCCCATGCTCATCAAGTAAATCTGCAAGTACCTCTAACACCTCTGCTACTTGATCAGGCTTTCAAGCTCTTTCTCCCCAACAGAAGAGTGAGAAAAGAAAAATTTTGCCCAGCTACCGCTTTGTGGAGGCAGGAGAGGTGAACACGGCCCTGCTCCACCGGCCTAAATTCATGTGCAGTCAAGCACTAAAGAGGAACTGGCTACAAAATCCTGCACTCCACCAAATGGGATCATCAGACAGAAAAACAGGGGGGGGAAAGAGCTTTTAAACATACTACCTTTTCCCCCAAAGTATACAGGTTTGTATTAAAGCAGGTCTACCACTCCAGGCAACAGGCAGGCTACAGTTGAAAAGCAGTATCAAGCCTGACACCTTGACTAAAAAACAGTTGTGTTTAGGGACTAGTTTGTCAAGGAAAAAGCTGGTAACTAAGTCTTCTAAACCCTGAAAGAAAGATTTCAGATGTAAAAGATTATTTTTTTTCCTGAGATATATAGTCAAAAAAATTGTACTTATAGTAGAAAACATCTTCCAATTTCAGATCCACAATGATTCTTGGGTCCATAATTATTCTAAGATCCTTTCAGGCTGGACACTCGCAGAGTAGAAAGGACTGGATTTAATTAGTGTTGATGTAACACCTCAGTTATTAAAGGATCCAGCAGTTGACCTCCGCTACGTGGTTACTGCTGTTTCTTGACAGTTATGGATTAACTGCAGCACACAGAATTTTGCCCTCAGTCTCGTACATGGATTTTAGACCCCCACAAGGTCTAAAGTGGGGGCAGTTTCAATGGCTGAAGCTCTGCAATAATCCATCAAGTAGCACACATCCATCAGGTACATACTATTGCTCATCTCCAATAAAATAAATCTGCTTTCAAACAAGCATTTTCTTTTTTTGCATGTATCAGTCATGCAGTTATACACACAAAAGGAAATATGAGGGTAATAGCAAGCCTTGGAAGATCAAACAGTAATGTATTTTACAGTAACCTCCAGAAGAGATAAGCTTTTGATGGAACAAAGAAACAGCCTGGGGTATTTATAAAAGATACAAGCCAAGTCATGATTGTCCCCCTCCTACAAGCTTGGAGTCAAGTTTATTAGCTGAAGGTTAGAACTTTAAAGTTGCTAAGAGAAGTATGTTATCATGACCCTCAAGGCAACCAGAAGTCAGATGCACAGAAGTTTTTGAAAATCTTATTGGCTGTTTAGCTTCAAGTGAATTTCAAGCTTCCTCTTTGACAGACGGTACAAGTAGGTCAGGATAAAACACCATTGTCCATTAGTGGAAAGCAGCTAGTAGTCTGCAATCACTTCACTAGGATTAGCGTCCTCAGCATTTTTTTTTCCCTTTTTTTTTTTTTTCTCTTAAATAATAGCTACACAGACAACTATTAGTTGTTTCAGTCTTTATGTGAATGGGCATATAAACTAAACAGACCAGTTGACCCAAACCTTTCAGTAGCCCTTAAGAAAACCAGCTCAGTAACAGTAAGGAACAGCTTGTGTTTCACTGGGATGTGGGGGAAAAACATACACAACTTTCCACACATTAGCAAATGCTCTGTAAGAAATCAGATTTTCCTTCCTTCCGCAATTTTCCCAGCAGACAACCAAATCTATTTTAGAAATTACTCTGCTTTGGTGTATCAGCAGGCACACCTTTCAGATGGGTTCCATTCCTCCCGTTTTTAATGACTCATTAGCAAAATGCATTCCTACACATCAGCTCGTCCCTATGGCCAATAAGCCAAAATGTAAATGTTAAGGTTGGTCATATTTACATGTCACCACTTATGCTAATAGCAATCCCAGCACCATACTCTGTAAGCAAAGTTATCGATCATCTTGAATATGATTAAGCAATAAAGCGAGCAAACAGCTCACAAGGTGATCTCCCCTACTTCTCAGTCAATTAATGTTGTATTGTACTCCATCTGTTTGGAGAAATGTTTCATATTGAGTATCCCTTCCCTCCCCTTAATGCAGAAAGAAGTAAACATGAATTGCACTATTTTATCATTATTCTTGATAGCACAGACATGCACCTCCAGCAAGCTGCAGTTCCCCGAGTGTGTGCTTTCCCAGATGTAGTCCAGATGCCTCCTAAATGCATATGGCAGGAAATTCTTTGCAATCTTTTCTGTTTCCCGTATATTATTGGTTTATAATTGCTGCTATCCATCATAATTTTTTTTTTTAGCTACTGACTACTGCCCTGCTTTGCAGGTGTGTAGATGAAACACAGGCCTAGCAAATGAGCTGGTTTTACATCTATCTTGGTGGGGAGCAGTACAGCTAGTCTTTAATGTCAGCTTAAAGGAAGCCTTATTGGCAAAATCAAACATAACAAAGATGACCATAGAATTGCACAGAGTCCAGAAGAGAAACACATCCAGAAGAGAATAAGGCTGTTTTCATGATAATTGACTTTAACTGTTTTCTGTCTGGAATTGTGCTAACCCAAAGCTCAAGCGCAGTGCCTGGTAGGGAATAACGGCATAGTACAATGCTACTCCACCTCAGGGACATGCTTCCTACTTCTAAGAGGGCTCATGTATCAGTAGTGCAATGCAAAGATTTCATTTTCGCTCCCAGCAGCAGTCTGTCTGTGTCAATATGGTGCTGTGCTCTGACTAATTACCCCGCTTTTAGAACTGACTCAAGGTTTCTTAGCAAATACAGGAAAATTGTATTTGCCCCAAGGGTGCAAGGCTGCGTTCTTACAGCTGCAGGGGGCAAGGGTAGAAGAGAGAAAGAACAGAGAATAGAGTCCTGTAGTGTACAGGGCCAGGACAGCACAGTCCTGAATGTAATGTCCTGGAGAGCAAGGCTGGAGATGGTGGATGTAAAGATTACTGATGAGCCTACCATAGCCTCTGAAAACAAGGATGCCTGCTGAGTTTGCTGTTCCCAGCTGCACAGCACTCTAAGCAATGTCTAATTAGCATCGAGCCCTTCCCATTTCCCCCTTAGTGACTATTCTGACTGTAGCTTCTAATATTGGCTTCTTGCTTTGTCTTGTAGTGCACAGTACAGTGTGAAAGTTAGAATATGCAGTGTGATCAGCCTTGAGGTACTGGTTCCTTGGGTTATCCTCTGACCTGCACAATTACTCAGCTCTGCAGAGTTTTGCCCTGAAACAGTAGCATCAGAGCATTTCTTGTACTTAGGATATGGAAAGCGTTTCTCAGATAATTATACAGTGGTCTTCTCTGAAGCATTTCACAAGACATCCCACTATTAAAAATTGTAACTCTGGATTGAGGGGCAGTTTACCCAGCGTTAAGTGATCAGAAAAGGGGTGAAAGTCTCATCAGGCCATTCTAGAGTTCTCAGTAACTCATACTGCTAAGCATAAAAGGCCAGCCCCAATCAAAGCATAACAGTGAAATATTTGGAAAATAAATAACAGGAATAAACAATAAAACATCCATCCATCTCTGCCATTTGATTTTGCATGAAATCTTAAACCAGGTTCAAGAGACAGCACTGGCTTCTCTCTTTGAGAAAAAGAACAGATATAAAGGCTTGAAGAATTCATGCTGCTTTTCCCAATCATTTAACTCTAAAGTTCAGTACCATATTGACTTATAATTTTGTCAGTGTAACCCTTACACATCCTTCTCAGTCTACAGATTGGAAAAAACTGTGTGAGGTCCTGAGACCATTATTAACTTTGCCAGGATATTTAATCTTTCATAACGAGAGAGGTTTGCATGATTAGTGAAGATGTACAGTTTATTAATCAGAGCACCTCTGAAGTCTTTTTTTTTTCCCCATCAGATCAGTGAGGACAACCAGTTGGCATTGATTTTTTCTAATTCACTTCGGCTGTTTTACAGACATTTTTCAGAAGTCACAGGAGGTGTCACAATGTCAGGGTTTTTAGTTTGTTAGTTTTTTCTTTTAAGCTGGAAAGGAGTCTGAGAGTTTTTGAAATAAAGGTCTACACTTTCTACTTAGAATTGAACCTAGTATTAAGATCTGTATCAAAACAAACCACCTTCACTAAAGTATCTAATGTCTGATCTCTACTACACTTCCATAATTCAACTCACACACCAACCTGCAGAACCATTTGTTTACCATTCTTGTTCAGAACCAAGACCATACATTTGTTGATTGCCACCTTCAACTTCCTAGATGAAATGATCAAAAACAACTATACATCCAGACAGTGAGAAAACTTTAATGAAATAGTTCCATTTGTGCCTTTTTTTTTTTTTTTGACATAGATCCTTTGGAAGACAATCAATCCAGTAAAATTGCAGTAGACCGAAATATCATCTCACCTTGTGGAAAAACAAGCTCAGAAAACTTCACTGAGTCTTTAATAGATACATTTAATAGCATAGTCACTCCCCTAGGACTGAGTATGTGGATGTGTGTACTGGTGCACAAAAGTAGTACTAGTCTAGTTTCACAAAGTTCTTACCGTACAGATAATAAGTTCACAGAACAGGGATAAGCAGAATTTTTAGTAGTATATTTCAAAACCCATAATTTTAGAAGAGAATTTTCATAGTAGGGTTTGAATTTATTGCTCCTTTTATATTCACCCTTAAAGTCTGCTTTAGAAATGTGGACCTTTACAGCTTCACTGTGTACTAGGACAATACCTGCAGGAAATAGGCCTCTATGAATTCATTGTCACATGTTTATGTTTTTAATGATATTGATTGGTTTGAACAATCATATAGCATGGCTTCAGAAAGATCATTTACTCTGGCAAAATACAATGCTCATAAATTATAAAGAGAAATAAATGTACATTGATTGCAAATCTTAATGTATTGTGGATGCCTCGTGTTACAGTGAATTTCTTTCACTTTGATTTAATACAGTAACATTCACTCTTTTGGGATCAAATAGTAAGAATGAATTATATCCTGCACCCATCTCATAGCAAAAGATAATGAAGCCATACAGCAGTCAACTCACCAGCATCCAGCCCTTGTCCTTGCTGTTTTATACTGTCACACAGGAGAGGCTGCATGATGGCAGTCCAAGACAAGAGTCCAGCCCTCTTTTCCCTAGTGGTGGTCCCTGTTATAATAACATCAATAAGAAAAAACAGTGTAAGCAAGGAGAATCTCTGGCTATAGTTTTACATGCACTCTAAGGCAGCACTGCCCTCCCAAAAAGCAGTCCTGCACAACAGCTGCTTCTTCCTGTCCTTCACCACCTCATTTCTCATCCCAGCAAGAATATTTGTACAGCACCATGGCAAAATGGACTGGGTAACAGATGCAGAATAAAAATTGACCAGTCAAAAATAGCAGTTAGTTTTAACACAGATAGCTTTTACTAGGAAGTTCCAGCTAAGAACACATAATGTATGAAATGACAGCCTTAGTATTCTCCTAGCCAACACTTATAAAGAAGACATAGACAATTCTTTACAAGCATTTCTCTTGAGCTAAGGCTTTCTAGAAAGAACCATGTAGGTAAGGAATGGGAAGAAAGAAAGAAAAAAGTGGTCCTGGTGCCCTGTGCAGAATCTGAGCAATCTCCCTAAAGCTGTATGGAAGAGATCACTTGCAGCCCCCTGCTCTGAGGATGCCGCATGTCACGACCTGAGGAGCTTACACTGTCTAATTTAAGGTAACTGATCCCAGTGGCAGAGTTCAGAGCTTAAATTCCCTAAACTGTTGATTAAACCTCCAAAGATACTTCAGGGGACATGAATACATATGCACCTCAAAGAAGTTCTGGAGATTTGGCACCTATGTAGGACAGGTACAGTCATAACTCAGGTCCCAACTACGAGCTGGGAGGAACTTGCACAGACATTCATATGAGTGTTAACATGTACAGGACAGAGAAAACATATGGCCTGAAAAACCACCTTGGTCAGTCCCAGAAGAAAAGCCAGCTTCTCTAGAGAATGATTTAAAGTTTCAGTAGATTTGTCTGTCCTGTCACGTTGGTTTCTCCTATAAGCTTCCTTCAAGCCTTCTCATAAAAGCCATTCCTGTCTTTCTCCTTTCCTTAGCTGCTGTATAACATTCTCCTGAAAAGGTCAGCTCATTGTAACATTTACCAGCCTTGTTGTGAATGCCTTTGTCTTTTGACCACTTTAATCCTGGTATCCTCCCTCTCTCTTTCCTCCTTACAGCGCTGTGGAACTGTTTATTATAATAATCCAAATTTAATTGGTTCTGCTGCTTGCTTGCCCAATCCCCCATCTATCAGCTGACACATTCTTTAATTCAGCTGCACATTCTCTCATCATTCATCAGGCCATTTACACATCCTTCTATCTGTTCTCACGTTCTCTCTCTCTCTTCTTCTTGCTCTCTGTTCTGTCACCCTTCTCATTTTTGCAGAGCTCTCCTGCCAGTCTCCTGGGTGCTCTGCAGCCCTGGTTCTCCCAAAGCATCAAACAGTGTGTCATTGTATACCAGCCTGCACTCGAAATTACCACGAAACATTTCACAGCTAATCATACCTGTAAGTTCAAGTATGTTTTCTACATTCAGAGGTCCTGATTCTGATTTCATTCACATCACAGTAAATTAAGGCAATGCCAGTGGGGATACACAGGTGTAAAATTAGTTTAAGTAAGATGAAAAAGAACTCTATTTTCTACCAATAACATCAGTATTAAAGGGCTAAAAAGGAAGTTGGATAAGTCAAAATCCAGCAACTGATCTTTTGAGAATGAAAGGCCCTGGAAAATTGGAGGATCGTTGTTTTCTTAGCAGAAGTGTCATAAAGAAACACTCCCTGAGCTCATATTATGTAGTCCCAGAGACTGTAATACAATGGGATATGTCTCGCTGAGTACGAAAGACATGAGAAAAACATATTAAAAATTTGTACAAAATCCAGTACAAATACAGTTCACTCCCCAGGGACCCCTCTCAAGGTTCACACACAAGCACCCTAACTAATGGAACTAACAGGCAGAAACAGTGCTTGCAACAAATGTGCAAAGCCATAGAAACAATGGAAAAACAAACGCAGACAACTTCAGATATGTGCACGGGACTTGCTCTGTTAGCAGCCATACAAGGCAAGAAAAGGTAAGGCAGATTAGCTTTAAGGCAGGTGGGGAGAAGAGCTCTTGGAGCTGATTTGATGGACAAGGCATCCACAAGATCTAATAGACCAGATGAAGCTTTAACTTGGACCAAAGGAGTCAATGAATGAAATGGTCCAATCCAACAGTCTTCAGCATAGAGATGGTCGTTGGAGAAAGAAAGATCTTGTAAGGGGCAACTAGAGATGTAGCAGAAATGCAAGAAAAGGACAGTCAGGCGATATGGCACAAATGGGACTGATGGCAAATGGAAATCCAAGGAGAAGAACACAGTACCTGCACCCATGGGGTAACAACAGGCAGGAGGAGGACTGAGACATGGGAAGCACAACACAGTCTTAGCCTAAGAATGACCGAAGGACAACACAAGAGAGAGTCTGAGAATTCATTTAGTTCCGATTAACAAATTTAGAAAAGAAGACCAAAAGATCTCTTATTTGTCAAACAAGCAACAAACATAGAAAATACCACACGGTCAGGGGAAGGAGAAAAAAAAAAAAAAAAAAAGAGAGAGAGAGAGATCTAGAGGGAATGTTAACACTACACAGTCACTTATCATCAGGTTAAGACAAGAGTATGGTAAATGGACATTGCAGATCAAATTCCAAACACTGACCACAACATCGTGCAGAGGTTCTCTTTCAAAGAGAATGGAGAAAAAAAAAAAAAAAAAAAAAAAGGAAAGAAAGAAAGAAAGAAAGAAAGAAATTACAGTGGTTAATCCATATAAAGAATAGGAAAAAAGAAATGAACAAATACAAGGAAAACTGAATGAGCAAAATCAAGACTTCTGACAGACTCAAAGACCTGCCAGAAAATGCTCAAGGAGCCAGCCATTATCACAGAAGAAGAAATAGCATGATTTTGCTTCCACAAATAGCTACCACATCTTGGAGAGCTTGAAATGCATTGAAGTGAAACCCAATGGAGGCCAATGAGAGAGGAAGAGAGGGCAACAGAGGTTATTTGAACCCAGAAATAGGAGTCTTAACTGAGAAGCAGTCATGTTGAGGAAATGTTTTGGAGGTAATGGAATGCAGATTTAAAGATCACCGAAGCAGTAAGGGGCAAATGAGTTCAAAGAGACCTCATTGACTCTGCCATTCACTCTTGACCTCTGAAGTACTTGCAGTTCATGATGAAAGCAGTGACACTAACTTTACCATAGCCTTGTTAATTAACTAATTATCTAAGGCCACAATCATAATGAGCGCTACACAAACAGTATTCAGAACATATTGTCATTTACCAGATCGAGTTACAGTCAAGGAAAACTATTTTTTGTGGTTTATTTTCTCCCTTTCAGATTACTGCAGAACTATGATGATGTGTTAATGGGTTAAAAGTACCCTTGGCAAGTTGGTACAAGGCTCAGCTTTCACTGATAATCAGCAGTTCCAATGGCCCATAATGACGCTTCAGATTCAGTTTTGAGGGGCTGAGCGCCTTTCCTCTCTCCAGAGCATTCATCTGGTTTTGATCTTGTTGCCTTTCCAGAGGAGATTACCAGTGGTTCCTAAGGAAGGGGGAGAAGGGGGCTAAGGGTGTCGTTTACATTTCTGGGGGGTACTGTTCTGGACTGAATGTTCTGGAAGCATGGATTTGTCTAATGCACTTCAACATCTGAACAAAAGAGATGTTGGCTCCTTGAGCTTTTGCCCAGAGTAGCTGTAGATGCCCCATCCCTGGAGGTGTTCAAGGCTAGGCTGGATGGGTCCCTGGCAAACCTCATCTAGTGGGTGGCACCCCTGCCTATGGCAGGGGGTTGGAACTGGCTGGTCTTTAAGGTCCCTTCCAACCCAAGCCCTTCTATGATTCTATGAGGTGTCTAGATTTTAAGTTAACCATAACCACACAGCAAAGAAAAAAAAAATAAAAAAAATAACCCCCTGTGTACCAGCAGATACCTCTGTTCAGTGTGCATGAGGGTTTAAGAAAACAAACCTGAAGCTGGTTAATGAATAGTAGATATAGAAATACTAAAAATATTACAAATTGCATCAGTTACCGTTAACTTTTACTGTGAAAAGCTCAGTTATGTTCTGATTAACCTATGCAATAACCTGGAATAGAAGTTTTGCAACGACAGTGACGGGCATAACTATAGCTACGAACTGGCTTCTAAAGAAGAAACGAGTGGAGTTACTCAGACCCATCCCTCCGGTGCAGCTGAGTCCCTACCACGCTGCCAGGCCAAAGCAGGACAAGGCCTGTGGGGTGGGAGGCGCTTCTCCACCAGCACTCTGCCAGCTCCGCTCCACCACACACACAGCACCACAGCCACGTAGCTGAGGCTGTCCTTCTGTACCCAGCAGTCAGAGGCACAGCACACAGCTGGAAAGGTTATGTTCAAATAGGCAGCAAACACCTGCATGCTGAAAGAAATTTGGGAGGGGGGGGAGCGTGTGTACATCAAAAACAAACAAAAAACCTACCACCTTTCTGAGGGACCCAGGGGACTGCTAGAGGAGCTTTTGCACTTCACGAAACCATTGAAATGAGTTAAACTAAACATAGCAGCAAGAATTTACTTGCAACACCACATGGTGGGTGGGACTGTTCAAAAAAATATATAAAAATCCTATAAGTCCTTTATTTATATTCTGTGTTGGACACTATGAATTTTGTTTATTTAAAAAGTTAAGTATCCCAGCCTATGTTGTAACAGAATTTGTTTGTGTGTTATTAGCCTGAAGTCTTTGTTTTGCTTTGGGAAGAGGAGTTTACAAGAGAAGGATCTGGCACTTTTCTCCTAAAGCTCTCGCCAACTTGGGATCCTGTCACTCCCCTTTATAATGCTAACAGACGCCTGCAAGCCCACTCCACAAAGTCTATGGTATTTCATTTTTTTGCTGATATTCTATAAATGATGTCTCATTAAAAATGCTCTTTTGTGCTATATTTCATGGCAGAGGCTAAAGGGGAGACAGTTTTCTGGAATTATGTTTGAAAACTAGTCTCAGATTTCTATTGCTTCATGTGACAGATAGAATAACAGAGATGAAAGGACGCCTTGGAAGATTTGACTAATGAGAACATGAAATGTAGTTAGCTTTTGGAAATACCTTAAAGCAGCAATTCAATATATCACCCTGTGCTCTTTCCTAGTTATACACACACATTTTATATAGGATTTACTACTGTAGTCCCTCAGCATATCAAGTATGTCATTTCCACAGCATTTTTTTAAGGTACACCTGTTTATTTACGCATGCCCACCTTGGACATGGAAGTGCTCCCAATGTGGAGTCTGACCAGTCCTTCTGAAAAGTCAACAATTATTCAGGGTGTGCTAAGCATTGCTTGCATCTCTCTTCAAGAGACCTGGGTGCTTCCTGGGACACATAGCAAATACAAAACAATGCTAGAAATAAAACTTCAACAGATTTAATGGGAGGCTGGTGTTTTAAGCCCCTGTTTCCTATCATCTTCCCTGACCAATGACTGAAATCAGGCAGTGACGGAAAGAGCTTCAAAGTGGTCTCAGGAGATAATTCGCAAGCTATCATGCTGCTGTCACTCTGCATAGCTAAGCAGGCACATCAGCAACATAAATCTATCCAGATCGTAGGCTCTGTTTAGCAAATAACTTGTTTGAGGCAACTCATGTTGCCTTGGGAAGAAGGAACAACAATAACAACAACAACAAAAAAAAAGCGTGGATTTTTTTTAGCTAACTTTTCAGTGGATGATCAGAATCATTTGATCACCTACAAGTTCTCAATGCAGCATTTAAAAATATATATTTATGTTATTTAACTCACATTAGGCTAGAACTACTCGACTGAGATCCTTTATTTAAATCTTAAGTGGTGCACGTACTGTTCAGTGCATCTGACAACTTTAATTTTCAGTGGCAGCTAACAAACTTATTTTTTGTTGTTCTTCAGAAGATGGCTGATATTCCCTGGAAGTTAGACTTCTTGAAAGAGCTAAAATATCTTGGCCAGTCAAAATCTTTTGCTTTCTACACTCCTCATCCAAGAACACTAACATTTAAATTCACATCTCTCCTCATACGGGCCACTGCTTACATGACTATCAGCATGGCAAATAAAACAGAGTGTTTGACAGAGTACACTTCTGAAAAGAAACAAAGCTTTCATCAGTTTTTCTCACACTACTGGTAGAGACTTTTAGTGGAATAGGAAAAAAATATTTCCAAGATGTGAACTTCAGAAAAATCAGCAAAAACATGGACTGTTTGAAGGGAAGAACAAGCTTCTCACTTTATTTCTTTGCTCTTCTACCTGACTTCTAGAATACATCTCAGTGTGATCATGCTGTTACACTACTAAAAGGGTGCAAGTCACACGCTTCTTTCATTTCTGAAGGGCAGTACTACACGTCTACACTGTATGACCATGATCAGACACTCTTTCACAACTGGACACCTCTGCTGTAACATCAAATCCTTGCCACACCAATTGAAAACATAAAGACAAAATTATTTTTTAAAGTACCAAGCAGACAGACTGTGATGGAGCATGGTAACAATGTGGATATAATACACCACCAGCTGGTCTCTAAGAATGTTTTTTTCATTTATTCTGTTGTGAAATTTGTATTTTTGTGACTCAACTTCCTTTTCAGACTCAGGACTGCATGTCGTTTGTGCTGAATTTCCAGCTGCCACCGCTCAAACAAAGGCTGTTGCATGTGAGAGTTTGGAATTAAACGTGTAGAATGCAGTGAACGGTTATAATACATCTCTTACGATGAGAATAAAAACATAAATAAGGAAATTAAAAATCCCACATCTAAAGTAAAAATAGCAGTCACCACCACAGAGACTGTATGAGGCAAAATGAGAACTACATTTCAGCAAAACTGCACATACTCCTGTAGCCAGACAAGAAAAACCTTCTTCTTCGCTCAGTGGGATAATAAAGTTTATAGCTTTACCTCTTATTTTTAGATAGTTCTTTGAATGCATAGCTTCTGGCTTCCGTAATTTCTTTTGTATGTATTTTTTTTTTTTTTTCCAAAAAAGAGCTGAACAGACATAAATCAGTCCAAGCTGTGGAGGTCTTAAAAAATGTAACAGTTAAAACTGTAACATTCATAAATATTTTTATTATTCTTTCTAGGCTTGTGGAATGGCTTGACATTCATGTCTTAACTTGGCACAATAACCAGCATAATTTTGGAAGCAAGCAAGCACACTAACACCATCTCATTTCAGGCTGTATAAGCAAGTAGAAGAACCTATGTACAGTCCTCATGTGGAACAAGTGCTGTTAGTGCCATAAAGTGTGGGTGACATAAAGCAGAAAAGGAATTTCTTACTCTTTCTTTTTTTTTATATGGATGAATCACAATTGTTAAAGACTGACATGTTGCTGACAGACACTTACTGCACACCTAAATGCAATCTGGTTGCTGCTTCGAAAGAGTACAGGCAAAGCTGGGGAACCTTGCTGAGTGAGTGCTAATGAGCCTCTGGAAGAGACAGCATCACAGTTCTCCATATGAGTCGGCTGATGATCTTTAGTTCCACCTATCAAAGAAATGAAAATGGGTCAGTACAAGTACAGGAACTGTGATCCATATCAAGAGTCAAACAAGAGCAGGGAGAATGGCAAGTTTTCTTGAGATCTACATTATACAGCATTATAATCAATGGGTTTGTGTTCAGCTGTGAATGAAGATCAGAGTCACAGCAATTTTGAAGTCAAAGACATTCTCAGAAAACTGCTGCAAAGACCCACCAGAAAATTTCAGTGAGCAGAGCAAAATATTTGTTTCCTTGATGCCATCTTTTCCAACGGACATACACAAGCATAGGGATGAGTTTGATACCACAGACAGTGAGTCTCTCAGCCATGCATTCTATTAAACGTTAAACTTCAGATATATTACAGTCTCATGCTATAAAAATGCATCTAATTTTAGTTTTTCAGGTAAGACAATTACCTTTTTATTGTTTCTAAACTAAACATCTCTCTAATTTAATAGAGTTCATTTGGTTTAAATGAATGCCCTGCACTTTTGGGAAAGATCTGAAAGAATTAATAGCTGTTTTGCAGGAATCTCAAAAAATATTCTGCATGGGGTCCTTTGGGACTGTTGCACAGCAAAGACTGGGAAAAAAAAAAAAAAAAGCACAAAAGAAAAGTCCATGAGGAGCTATACTCAAGCTCACACATGATGCAAGGTGTGTTGGCTATTTCAGGAGACAGGGAGGGCAAAGATCAGCTCTAGGAAACAGAGCTAGAATTAACTGGAGAAAAAAATCCCAAAACTACATATAACATTTGGAGAAGCAACTGAAACAATTGCCAAGTACAATAATGTAGAAATTGTACATGATACATATCATGCCATCAGCTATCCCTTTAAATCAAAAGATTTGAAGATCTGGGTCTGGATTTGATTGTAGCTACAATTCATGAGCCAAGTCAGGGCTAGAGTTTAGATTCAATCCAATAATACCAACTTCAGTTATTTCCATGACACCTCAGCACCAAAGAACAGAAGTTTTGAGATTATCTGTTCTTTTTAAATTACTCAATTCAGCACAGAAGACTTCCTTGATTTAGAACTAGTGTGGATTCCTCTAAAATTAACGTTTACTATCATAAAAAATAATTGTAAATGCCAATAAGGAGGCATAAAACACTTGTGACTATCCCAAGAATGTTTTTGCAACATAATATTGATTATATTAAGGCTCCTATGACACAAATGGTGTTAGTATTAAAAAAAGACATTCTATAAAAGAATGATATAGAACCAGAAGAAATCAGATTATGGCTCCCACTCTTTGCTGCATTTGCAATTCATGCCAGATATGTTCGCTGTCAAGCTGTCATTTTATATTAGAAGTTCATTTTCTTGCTATCGATTCTCTCTGCTTTTTCTCATTCTTCAGCTGCCAGGATTTGGGAAGAGCAATAACAACAAACTATAACAAAGAAATTGAAGCCCCAAATAAATTTTGCAAACATTTGTTTCACAGCCATCAGCTAGGCTGACTCTACAACCTTATGCAAATTGTCATTAAAACTGCCATGCATTTGAATAATGAGCCACTGTTTAAAAAGACGAGCAGAAAAGCACCTTGCTTTCATGTTGTAGAGGAAGGTTAAATTAAATAAAGGTACTTTACTGTGTGTGCCTATATAACATAGCAGTTGCCATTCAGAGCACATCTTGCTTGTGAAAACAAAATCAGGCAAGGATAGAAATATGGCCCACAAATCAGGTGTTAGATTTCAGGAAGGAATTAATGAAATACACCAGACTGTTACATAAACAGATCCTATGTTCATTAACAGGCTCTCTAAGTTTGGATAGTCATGAAAGTTAAGTGAAACAGCTATACATACAATATTTTATCTACCTTTTCAAATACATCCTTTCACTAAGATTTGCTGTCTTTGCATTTCTCCAAGCAGTTTTCTGCTGCAACATAACATTAGGAAAAGCAGAACCCAGAATGCTTAAGCCCTGAGCGTAAGATCTTTCTGGCCAGCAGTGATGGGACACCCTCTCCTGGAGAAACAGACACACTTTCCCTGCTCCTTCAGTCTGAGAATAGGAAACGTGATATTCCTGGTGTATGGAGCCAAACAGCCACAACAAATCTTGACATAATGAAAATAGTTTGGCATTTTTCCCCTTGATACACGAGATTCTTCTGACAAAAACAGTTAGATACACTAGTCTTCAGAAAATCACTCATTCACATTGAGAGAGAGAGAGAATGAGGGGAAGAGGTGGAGAGAGGGAGGGAGAGAGAAGTTAGGCTATATTAGAATTACTACAGTAGAAGTCTCTCTAGATCGGTCATGAAATGAATAGACTCAAAGCGAGATTTTCCACAAGAGAGATCCCACTGGTTGTCCAACTCCCTGCATTTCGAACTAGGTCACTTGGAACCTTACAGCATCACCTGCCAGCTGGTTAGCTCCCCAAGCTAAAGAATAAAATAGCTCAGACAGAAATACATGTACAGGGTCATTCCACTTGGCTAAGTCTGAGTCCTAGGCATTTCGTCTTCTCACTTCTTTAAGATGACATGAGTACAAGCATTTATGGATTATGATCATCTCGTTGATACTTTCATATTTTTGGGAAGCCATATGTAAAATTTATAGACGTTTCCAAATCTCAAAGCGATGGATGCAAGAGGCAACCTGAAAATAATAATTAATATGCTGCTGCCCTGTGGATGAATTACCTTTTAAAAGAAGACAAATAGAGCAGGGATTTGTGGTGCCAATAACCAGCCCTGTGTACGACAGAATGTAAGAGCCTGACTGATTACACCATTCAGAAATGAAATAAATCTATAGCAGCAGGCTCCCAGGTGAGCAGCCTGGCCTCCAACATGGCACACTTCCATTGGCAGCAAGATCTTACAGTACTGTGGAGCAAACGCCTACGGAATTCGACGTGTGCGCTGAGATGACTACCTGGGATGTTGTATGCAGAAAGACGGATGGCTCTCAGGGAAGTTTCTCACCTGGACACTGCTGATTTGTATCTTAATTAGATGTCACCATGAAAAAAAAAAAAAAGAAAAGCATGGAAGGAAGGAGAAGAGTCACAGCTCAGAGTGGTTGCTGACGTGAATTTAATTTGACATTAGCAATATACTTCTCTCATTTGGAGAACTTCTTACCGCAGCCTTCCTGTGCTATGACATGTTTTTAATAAAGGTACCTCAGTTTGCAGCCCAATGTACAAACAGTCAGCAGAGGTACTGAGCAGGAGCACACTGCCCAGACTGTCTGACCAAAGGGGGGTGATTCCTCACGACTTGAGGAGTGTTCCGTCACCGTTTACCTCAAGGCAGGAATGAACAGCAAGGGAGTGGCACTGCAGCTCCTCAGCAGTCCTTGTAGCCCTCATGAAGCCTGCAGAGAAAATTTCTAAGTTGCATTAAACACAAAGGTTCTCACTGCCCAAGGCAAACTGGAAAACATTCCCTCTCTCAGGTTATTTGAGCATTCAATAGCTGCATGCAGGCTGAACCTGTCATTTCCCGCTGAGTAGCATCTTGGGGTGTCTGTAGTGCTACTCAAATCAGTTACTGTCCCTCACCACAATGCACACAATGGTTTCTTATAGAAGGAACAGAAACTGAATCTAAGGAAAGAGTGAAAGTTACATGAATGTATAACCTACATTAAAGTTCTGATTAAATTCAGCAGTTGCCTTCCAGTCGCTTCAAACAGTTCTACATTCAGTTGTAGCTTGGGGTTTATGAAAGTTCTCAGCATTTCCATGGCCTAAGCTAAGAATGAATGGTTGGGGCTACAAACAGTCAGAACAGAGCTTAATGAGCTGATCCTGGTGGCGTGAGGCTCAGCGAGGTGGGATGCAAGTTGAATACAACCACCTCAGAGATGGATGGTCCTGTACTGCGCAGTTTGTAGGTGCAGACTGGCATTAGGGAAGCAGCTGAGGTTCTGGTGAGGAACAGTAGCCAAGACTTCTTCCTGTGACTGACTAAAGCACTTTGACTGTCTAATTTTGGTGAAAGGGCCATCTCTCACCGAGTAAACACACTGGCATTATGGCAGCAGAATCTAATCTCACTTGGTAGCCTCGTGACTAAAAATACAAATACTTTTAAAGGTGATCATAAGCAGGGAACTCAAATTATCATCCTGACCATCTGTGATTTGCATTAATGGGAAGAACCAACACAACAAACCACTATCAGATGAGGGCATAGCACAATTTCTGAGTTAGATGCAAGAAGTTACTGCAGTCTGTAACATTACCAATCCAGTACTACAGACAAAAATCAGGCTACAGATGTCGGAAGCCCTGTACACTGCTGCATTAAGGGTAGTGTTCAACTCGTAAATCATCATCCACAGAACAGTGAAGACTTATTTAAAAAGAAAGCAATCCAAATCTCTTAAATCTTCTGCACCATAAATCATAAACTGGCTCTGTGAAAAAAAATTCCTCATAAAAACCTGAAGAGTGTCAGCAGCTCACCACGTAGAGCAGCCCTCTTACATCACGACCTACAGAGAGATACTGGGTAATGTCTGCATTTACAAAAATACCCGCTGTGTACACTACAGAGGGATGGCACACACTTGACATCACCCAGCTGCAGATTACCTGTTTTTTGCTGCCTTTTCTCAATATAGATGATTAAAACCCTTTTATTCAAGCTAACGGTACAGTGAGAACACAATCTTTCAGAGCTCATGCACGTCTGATCAGTCTAGCAAACAGAAATAAAAAATCACTCCTACATGATTAGAACTGAGATTTTAGTTCACTTACTATGTGATTGAATTATTGATGATGATCTTTTCTAAGAAGAGTTAACCTAAGTTCCTGGACACTGGTCTGATACCCTTTTCAGATGTACAGTGTATTTATATTCTGAGCTTTACCAAAACACACAAGTAACCATAAGGATTTAGCATCCCCCAAAAATTAACTCATTAACCACATCAATGACAAGTCACTCCTCAAATAGTGCCTCATTTCTGCTGACTATTTTATGCTGAAGAATCTTGAAGGGGCTTTGAAAAACGCACCAAAACATTGCATAAGCTATATACACGATTTTACCTTTTACCTGTCTGATGAACTCCAGCACCTGTTTGACACTGAGCAGCGTAACTGCATGGCAGGCGACAGCTCGAAGCAGAACAGCTTTTTATATTAAAACTGCAGGTGGACTTCAGAGCTAATGTAATTACAGAGTCTGGAATTTCATCAGAACACCGGGGTTAAAATTCTTTTCCCTACTTGTTGTAAGAGTCTGTAGAACTTGAATTAATACAGGCTTTCCCTTTAGCCACTCTTTGTTTCAATTGACATTTCTTCACTCATCTGGCAATTTCAGTGGGCAGTAAGGTCACAGAGGAATTTTATTCTCAGTTTGAGCTTCCTGACAGACACTGCATGTTGGAATAAGCTTGGGGCTTTTAACCAAGGTGCAGGTGAGCCTTTTCAAAGGTCTGTTCACAGTTGTGAAGGGGCCCTGCTCATTTACCTACCTTGTTAGCGGCCACCAGGTGGATAGCATGTATCATTTCTTAATGCAAATACCCTGCTGGTGTTTCCACAAAGATTCATTTGAAACTGCCTCTTCTCTTGACACCAAGGAAGCAGAGTCTCATGGCAAAAAGTTTGTTCTTTTGGAACTTACCTGTCTGCCCACACCCTGCAGAGCAGATCAGCAATCTGACAGTATGGGCACAAATCTGGAAATTGCACTGCCTTTATGGATAAACGTCCATTGATGGAGAACAAGAAAAAAACAAGTAGCTCTGGAATTTAAGAAGCTTGGTATCTGTGGGTTTTTGTTGTTGTTGTTGTTGTTGTTTTGTTTTGTTTAATCTCATTTCTGATCAATTCAATTCCAGTGCCTTCAGAACATGCTCTAACTTTCCCTACAGATGAAACAATCTCTTTCCTTCACCTGGTTACATATTTTCCAAGAATTCATAGAAACTTAGAGACTTCGACCTTCCTGTCAAATGTTGCTGAAATCAAGCCAGATTCAGAAGACACCAAGAGGAGATCTCTCCCCAGACTATTGCAGAGTATGATTCCAAAAATTTCACTTCTGCATTAAAATACTACCAATAGACCAGATTCAGTCAAGCACCAGATTAAAGTAAAAAAAAAAATATGTTCTTTTCTTCCACCTAACCAATAAACAGGTGATTTGTGGAGCTGGTCTGCAAGGGTAACAGCAGCACATTGGCATTTAACCAGGCTGAGGAAAACTCTTCAGTAGGAAAGACAGCTGCTGAAAGTGTTTGATAAAAGGCACCTAACTCCCCTCTGCTGGCAAATTCATTTTCCTTTCCTAGCATCTCAAGAAGGTAACAAGCAGTATCTCTGTCTAGCTTTGTACAGATAAACTACACACCTCCCGGGAGTTCCGAGGGGAGCTGAAAAGATGAAAGCTGCAGCAGCTTGAAATTTTAGATCAATATTTAACAGGACAGACTGTAACCTCCTCTTGCAGGGAAGTGTTTTCATTACAGAAACTACTTTCCCTACAGGAAACTTTGCTGGAAAAATGCATAAAGAAACTTTGAAAATTCACATTTAGAAGGGCTTCAGCAAAGAGAGCAGTACATGCAGAGCAAAGTGCACTTTGATTCAAGCATGAATCTGCTTTGACAGATTTAGGAACTTGATGTAAAGCTTTTTTTTTCCCCCCACTGTATACATATTTATGAGAATTCCCTACAAAAAAAAAAAATCATATTTATATACAGACACATATACAAACACGCATGAATTCACAAAGGTAGCATTTGGATTCTGGGAAAATCAAATTTGCAACCAGTTTAAATAAGAAATTCAAAATAACAATTTCTGAAAATGGTGGATCAGAAATGCAATAAGTCATACTAAATTCTGTGTCTGGAAAAGAAGACCCTACGCATAGGCCAATATTTTGAAATTACCTGAGCTGTCAGTGATTTAACAGAAAAATATTTCTACTTCTTTAGAAAGGGAGAAAACAGAGAGAAAAAAAAGTAATGAAAGGTAGCAGGTTGAGACAGCATGGATTTTTTTTTTTCCCCTGAGGAGGTTTTTGGCAGGAACCCTGGAAAGAAATCTACATTTGCACACTCCTGTGGGAACTGAGAGAAACCCCTGCCCTGCCACATTCTGTGGCTTGTTTTGATAGATGGAAAGCCATCATATAGCTGTACATGACCTGAAGACTTTGAAGAAGTGCACAACTTCCGAATTCCCAAGTAGTTTGCCAGGAAACTACCACAAATACATCAGCAGTATTTTATGCAGTGAATCTTCAGAACATATTTTCAGAGAATCAAAGAAAAAGGAAAGGATGAAAGAGAGATATAGGAGATAAATTGGTGATTTATCTCCTAGTTGCAAAACAAAATCAACTGATGCTGCCAGGGACATATTTTATTTGTATCCCTGTTCCTGAAGACACTGAAGGTCTGTGACTTCACCATCCCCATCCCACCAATCCATTCCCCCACTTTGCTAGGCTTTCTCCTGCAATTTTTTTTCTTAAATGCCCAATTTCAGTCTTATTTTGTTTTTATTATTTGTTAGGACAATTATGTCTTGTCCTAACCATAAGGAAAAGATTATTTCCTTCGTTTTCAGGGTTACCATTTTTTGCATTTGGTTAAATCCTTCTCCCCTGTCTCTGAAGTCTATCTCACTCCAGGTTGTTCAATCATATTTTTGAGCCTTCCCATTGTTTCTGAGGTTGCAACTCCAAAAGTGAATGTGCCACTTGAGATAATATCTTAGCAATGCTGAGAAAAGTGAAAGGATTACTCCACACCTTTCGTAGCCAATACCTTTTCTTTAGCATACCATCCTTTCCTCCCTCATGAGTCTCTCCTGCAGTCCACAGGACTATAATATTACTTGGCTCTGGCTCCCTTTCACAGAATCATTGAATGGTTTGGGTTGGAAGAGACCTTGAAGATCATCTGTTCATCTAGTCAGCCCGTCATCCTAAGCACAGAATTTGGCAAAACAGCAGAAGGAGCTACCCTGTTATACCACACCTCAAAAAGGAACACACTTTGAGCAGAAAATCTTGAGGGGAAGGCTATAAGAGAGTTTCTGGAGTCCCCCATATTAATGAAATTCACCAAAAGACCAATGGCCTAGACTTTTTATTTAAGCAATATTTGGGGGGTCAGATTCTGTTTCACCTGCCTTGTTTCATCAGTTTGAAAATATTATCTTGACATGGAAAGTGGAATAATCACATAGAAATCAAAGGACAAGTATTTATTCATTAGCTGCCCACTTAACCTTGAGCAGTTACTGAGGACTGTTTGTTGTTTTTATTGCTAAATATTTACATTTTGTTTTAATTGGTATAACCTCCATAACACTTACTCTTTAAATTATCCATAGAGTCACTTCTAATAAATGTAGATAGGAAAGAAATCTACAAAGATTACACCAGTTATTTTGATTACTTCTTTTAACACCGCTTCATATTGATAAAATAATACATGGAAATGTGCTCGAGAGCTTGAGGAGTGAAGAGAAATTTTGACTGTTTCCATGGTAAATTGAAAGCTTAAGAGAATTAGGATAAAGTTATGGCTGTGTTTCATCCTACCTATATTCATCATCTAAAAGCACAGAGGAGTAGGAAAACCTGACCTGGATTCTGTACTGATTAAATAAAATGCAATTTTAAAGAGAAACTAAAGCAACAGTACATCTCCCATTCCAGAGCAGTAAGTAAATGACCCATTTTGCACTTAGAGCTGAAAGTATTCACAACAAACCATTTATTAACAAAGCCCACCGCCGCATTTGTGGATCAAAACATCCACAAATTAACCACAAACCAACTTCTTTTTTAAATTTCAAGTGTAACATCCAGAAGTATTCAAATGGCTTTCATGACACATTTCAGTTTTGAGCTTTCACATAAAGCGTTCCCTGCACCTGCTGTTTCCAGTTCCCATATTTGACATTTTGTATCTCTCACTTCATTCACATGCTAATGGTAATATTTCTGTTCCCAAAGTCCTCCACACAGCTACTAAAGTACCTTCATGATCGCCAAGGTCAGATGAAATATATATCCACGTTTATAAAGAAACGTAAATTTTTACAGAAGCTGATGACATTCCATCACAGTGTGCCAGTGCTGGTTTATGCTCTCTACAGATACATAAGAAAAATTCTCAGCTGATTAAAAATCAGTGGGGGTGCAACATCAACACTGGACATGAACTCAACTTGCATCCAGATTTTTTGGAGGAAGCAAAAAGGTTGATTGGGGTGGCAGTCACGTCACAAAGAAGAAATATCTTCTGGGGACATCTCCCTTCTCTGGGATAAGAGATGCTCTCCAGGAGAAAAAAATAAATAAAAAATAAATCATACTTTTTATCACAAATTATAGCTGCTTAGCTGCTAAGATTTTGTTTGTACTCAGTGAGCTAACAAACACACTAACTTTTTGTGAATCCTCAATTTTGTTACTTTCACAACTTAAATGCTGCCAACTTTGTAATGTACTCCATTAAGACATTCTTTTACTATGTGTTTGACACATGAAAATTAAAACCTGGTTGATTGTAGCTTTTTTTTTTTTTTTTTTTCCCCGATTTTGCTTTTTGACAAGACTGTGTCAATCTCTGCAAGGTTACAGTGATGCTGGAAGCCCTGGCAGAGCGGTGGGTGGGCCTGGACCCCATCAGCCTGCCATCACCTGGCAGCCCATTGGGGTCTTGCGGTCCAGCCCAAGGCCAGCTCCTACTTCACTCTCTCAAATGTTGGCAGCTCCCCACGTGCCCTGCAGCTCCTCCGTTCAGGTGACTGTCACCTCATGGCCATTGGAAATGGTGCCGTGGGGTGGGGCTCACGCCAGCGGTATTCAGGCACCAGAGGCCCCTCACAGCACAGGCCCTGTGCTGCCCCTGAGGGAAACCATGGGCCTAATAGCTGAAAGTTTACAAAAATTAAGGGTGACAAGCAGTCAGTCCTTCATGGAGAGGGAAGTTTCAATCCTATCCCATGGTTTCACAGAAATAGCAGGACACAGAGGTATTGCAACAACCATTAACTCCCGTTCCCTGCCAGTCAGAACTCCCGTGCGCTGCCAGAAGCACCACAGAGGCACAATAAGCCCTTGCAATTAACGAGCCCTGTCTATCTGCATGTATTTAAGCTAGCTGCCTTCCTCCTTACAACAACCACTTCAGCATGAACGTCTGGCTGGTTCCATTCCCCTATTAAATGCAAAATATTTTTATCGCTCTTCTGCAAGCTGATGCATTTTAATGTTCTTCCTTACCAAAAACCCAATTACCACATGGCAGACGGAAGGAGAAGTTGTTAATTAACAGGTAAAAACTTTCCATAAACCTACTTAACTGTGGGTTAGCGCCTAAAGTGTTGGGAACACAGCTGAGAGCACAGTAATTGCTGACAAGTGTCATCTCACACCAGCTCTATTACTG